CCCCCCCCCCCGCGCCCCGTCCGCCCGAAGTCCAGCGGCTGCGGCTGCAGCGCCCCGGCCCCGTCTCTCGGCGCAGCCCGGCGGCCCCGGGGCATGGAGAACGCGCACAGCTCGCCGGCGGCCGCGGTGCTGCAGCGCTTCGGGGTGCAGGCGAGCTGCGGGCTGAGCCCCGAGCAGGTCCGCCGGAGCCGGGACAAGTACGGACCCAATGGTGAGTCTGCGCCGCGCGCGGCGGCCCGGGTCACCTGTGTGCCGGGGGAGAGGTAGCGGGTGTGGGGGTGTCTGAGGGGGGAGTAGAAGGTTTGGGGGTATCTGAAGGATGGGTATACAGGGGAAGGAGGTGGGGGTATCTGTGGGGGGGGGGAAGGGGGAGGTAGAGGGTTTGGGGTATCTGAGGGGGGAGGTAGAGGGTTTGGGGTATCGGGAGGGGGAAACGGGGCAGTATCTGTGGGGGAAAGGGGGAGGTAGAGGGTTTGGGGTATCTGGGGGGATGGGTGGAGGTAGAGGGTTTGGGGGGTATCTGTAGGGGGAAGAGGGGATTATCTGGGGGAAAAGGGGAGGTAGAGGGTTTGGGGGTATTGGGGGAAGCAGGGCAGTATCTGTGGGGGAGAAGGGGAGGTAGAGGGTTTGGGGGTGTCTGGGTGGAAAAGGGGCGATAGAGGGTTTGGGGGGTATCTGTGGGGGGGAAGAGGGGATTATCTGGGGGAAAAGGGGAGGTAGAGGGTTTGGGGGGTATCTGTGGGGGGATACAGGGGCAAGAGGTGAGGAGTCAAATGGAGAGCATGGAGTACAGGGGCAGGGGGTTACCTTTGGGTATGGGGATGGTGTGTCCGGTGGGAAAGGTGTTTGTTAGATGTAGTAAGGGGCCTGATTTAATGGGCAGAGGTGTGTTTGACCTGTGTGTTTAGGATAACGGGCAGCAGCATGAGGGATATATGGGTTAAGATATATGGAGAGGAGTGTTAGGTTAAGGGGAGGTGGGCATGGATGAAAGGATACAGGATGTTACCTTTGTCTTCAAGAGACGTTTATGGAGAACTGGGGTAATTTATAGTGGAAGGCCAGCTGTATGATTAGGCTAATGGGGGGATGGGTTGGGGTCAGGGTTAAGGCCATGGGCAGGTTACCTGTGATTAGATTAGATCGGCTGGGAATTGGTTATTTGTTAAACATTGATTAAGGAGAGAGCTTTTTGGTTTTGTAAAAATATTGCCTATGGAAACCGTAAATACAGTGAATGCACCTTGATCAGCAGAGTAAGGACTGGGAAGGCAGGTCACTTGTGGCACAAGGGGAGAGAGGCTTGCTTAGGAGATGGGGGAGGATTGGTTGCTCTGTTGAGCATTAGGGCAAGGAGAGTGTAATCCACCCAAATCAATATTTGTTTAATTTAGGAGGCTCCCTAGAAGATCAGCTCCACCCTAAGCAGTGTTTGCATTAAGCAGTGTTTGCATATGTCAGTTACTTTTCACATAAACTCCTGATGAAGTTGCAGTGGATGAAGGAGAGAGTCTGGTGGTGGGGATATGGCAAGTGGGATGTGGATGGGTTATATTGTAAAACAGACTGAATTTGAGACACTGTTTTTGAACATCTGGGACATTTTTTATGTTTCTGTCAAAAAAGAAAAAAAAACACTCAGAAAAATTGTTAGTGAATGCAGACAAGGGAGTTCTGCTCTGATAGATTCACACCTTGGGAAGCCCACTCTTAAGGCTTTTGGAGTTGATTTGGGCTTGGGAGGAAGAAGCCATTTCTAACTGCCTTCTCGTGATAAAAGTCTATTCAGGTTGTTTGAATTATAAATGGACGGCTAGAGCAGTACTAGTGGAGGTCCATTGTCTCTAATAGAGCTAAGCCATTGTGTGCCAGCTGAGGATCTTCTGTGTGGTGGAAGAACTTAGTCCACATTTATCCTTGATGTAATTTTATTGATTTCAGTGGAGTTACACTAGGAGTGAATTTATCCTACCAATTTTAAGGGCCTTATTCTAGTTTCTTCAGTTCAACAGGAATTCAAGATCTCCAATAGATCTGAGTTGGTTCTTGTTGCTTCTAAGTTCTAGCCAGGGTGCTGGAACAATTTTTGTAGTGGGAGTGCTGCTGATGGCAACCATGTATCTGGTGTTTGTTATTACCATTTCAAGCCAAGGGTTGTGGTAGCACCCCTAGTTCCAGCACCACTGGTTCTAGCACCCTTTAATCTGATCTTCATGTTTCTAGGTTGAGGAAAATTCAGTCCAAATAAATTCTGGTAGGTGTTGCCCCATTGCATCTTTATTCCCTTAAAAAAAAAAAAGGAAAAAAGTAGGTATGGAAAATATGCAAATCCTTACAGCTATGTTTACAAAATGGTACCTGTTTCACTGGTAAAATTACCATCCAGTTTTGCAGGTATCTGTTTGATTGTCAAAGTCAGAACTTGAGTTGTTTGGCAATTTGCTTTCCTTCAGTTAAATCAAATCCTGAAGTCCTTGCTGCTCAGTTATCTGCAAAAATCTCATTGCCATCATGAATTTGAGGATTTGTCCCTGTCCCGGTTAAAGTGTTGTGGGGAGAATGGTTGTGGGGACCATACCATTTATGTAAAGGGGAATTACCACCGACTTCAGGAGCATTCTTGAGTGCTGAGTGCGGAATAGCACTTGAAGCACTCTTCATTCAGCAGGAAATAAGGAACTCCACTGGCTCCGGATCTAGATCCTGTGTCTTCCTATTTTCATGGAAACTCGTCTTATCTCCTTGAAAAACTGACAAGTAATTGGAAATAATTGCCGCTTACCGCGTATTGCCAAACCGTTCTGTGCATTCACGTGGACACACGTGGGAATATATTAAAATTGCCTTCAGTACTGAGTGAAAAAAATACCCGGGTTCTATGACAGTTTTGCCCTCTTGCGGTACCGATTTGGCAGGAGGGGCCTGGTCCAAAGTTCACTGACGTTAATGAGAGTCTACTTAGTTCAATAAATATGACTTTGGTTCAGGCACTAGAGCAGCAGTTCTCAATTTTCATTGCACTGTGACCCCCTTATGACAACAAAAATTACTACACGACCCCAGGAGGAGGGACCAAAGCCTGAGCCCGCCCAAGCCCCGGGCAGTGGGGAGCCAAAGCTGCCCAAGGACTTCTGCTCTGGTCGGGGGGCATGTAACCTTATCCTCACTGCCCAGGGCTGAAGCCCTCGGGCTTTGGCTTTGGCCCTGGGTGGCAGGCTTCGGCTTCGGCCCTGGGTCCCAGCAAGTCTAACACCAGCCTTGGCAACCCCATTAAAATGGGGTCGCAACCCAGTTTGGGGGCCCGACGCACAGTTTGAGAACCCCTGCACTAGAGCATTACAGGTAGGTGCCCAGGGATTCTGTGCTTCCAAAAGCAAAAGAGGCTGATGCCGAGCAAGATTTATAATCTAAGAGATCAGGCAGAGTATTAAGTGGTCCTTGGATCTGATTAATTCTATCAAGCAATAGCTATGTAATATTGCCCTTCAGATAGGCAGCCTACATTGATTATGTTTCTGTCAGAAGCAGAAGGCTGTGAGCACTGTTTGACACCCAGTACATTTTCGGCTCCTTGGGCAATATTTTATTGCCATAAATCTTAACCAAGGGCACTAATTATAATGCAAACAGTGAGTTGTAACATGAGGCACAAGTGCTGAGAAGCTGTAAAGATGACAAGGCAACCATAAAAGTGAAACTGAAGTTTGTGATTGTTTGTGGAACCCTCAGATGTGCCTGGACTTATTTCCAGTACTCATAACTTACTGATGGATCACACAAGATATTACCAGAAAAGCATATTTAAAAAGTTATGCAGGAGGACACCCTGTAAAACTTGGATTGTTAAAAATTTGGGCCAAAATTTTCAAACCTAGATGTCTCCCGTTAAGCTACTTAATCCATGTTTTTAGGCAATCTGAATAAAAGTAGCCTGCTCTTTTTTCAGAGGTCCTGAACACCCACAAATCCCACAGGCCACTTTTAGTTACGGTGTATTAGAATGGATGTAGGAAGTTAACTTTAGGAACCCAGATTTGAAAGTGTTGGGTCTGGTGTAACCAGAGAAGTCGTCCTAGGATATAATTTTACATGTAGGGTTTGATTTGATAAATGATCTTGTCACCTAAAATGGAGAAGTTAGATATAAACATTGGAATTAACTAGGGTGAAGAAGATTTGTGTTATCCCAATGGTCAGCTGCCAAAATCTTTTATGTTCTATGCCACCAATGCAGCATCTGTGCCGAGCAATTTGAGATGAGAGGGGTTAGTGGACACCCAGATCACTTGCACCTATCTGTGGCAGAAAGGGGAGACTAATGATGCCCCAACCTCCTTCCAGATGAGTTGTCACAGTGAAGGCGCACACCCCTGTGCTGCCTTGCTGGAGAGAGCCAGGGAATGGGGTAGGGGAGCTGTTCCCAAGCCCCTGGGATGCTTTGTGAACACTACAGAGCGGGCTGAAGCGCTGCTCCGCCGTGACATTACCATCCCTGTTTTTTTTAACCGCCCAGTGCAGGAAAGCGTGTAAGCTCTTGCTTTATTTTAATCACCTGTTTAAGTCCTAGTGAAGTTGATGGGACTTAAGCCTGTGCTTACAGTTAAGCATAGGCTGAAGGGCTCTCCTAAATCGTGGCCAAGGTGAGTGGCTCTGTGGAGGGTAATATATAAAATCACTTTAATGTAGCCCTTCAGCGGCATCTTGCCCCTGCAGCTCTCAAAGTGCTTTGCAGACAGCAATAAAGTTCGCCACATCCCTGTATTTCACGTTACAGATGGTGGGTAACTGAGGAATGGGGAGATGAAGGGACTTGCATAAGGTTGTATAGCAAGGCAGGGTCTTTTGGGGAGACAGAGCTTGGCTTTCATGACTCTCGTTTTGATGCTTTAATTGCAAGAACAACCCTCCTTTACCCTTGCTGGTTTCACTTTCTCATCCCCCCGCTTCACGTCGTTTGCTTCCTTCTAAACCTGAAATCAAACCGCCCGTTAGGGGGACCAGACAGCAAGTGTGAAAAATCGGGACAGGGGATGGGAGGGGTAATAGGAGCCTATATAAGAAAAAGCCCCAAATATCGGTACTGTCCCTATAAAATTGGAACATCTGGTCACCCTACCGCCAGTTTTGTTGTGAATCGTGAGCTAAACTATTAATACATAATCCTGCTGATAAAGGACCTTCTAGTAAACATTATAGGTCTGTTGTCTTGTT